AAGTGAGTTTTTTTTAGTTACATATGGTATTTTTTTTTTAAACGGTGGTATAGTTAATTGTTAATGAAATTTTGAATTTATATATAAATAATATTTAGAATAAAATTATTAAAGTTGATTTGATGTAAAAGTAAAAGAGAGATGATTGGAGATGATAGATAATTAAATTTATGTAAGTTGATGAATAGGGATTAAATTTGATATGATGTGTAAAGACGATTGAGAATGATTAGGACTTATTATCTCGGTGATTGCTCTATTTTTCGCGTACTTATGTTCAAGAGGTAAAATTAGTTTCTCGTTCGTAATTTCTGTGTTGAGCTCGGTTTTAGGTAAAAATGTTACCTTATGTTTTATCTTGCTTATTGAGGTGACTTGGTTGATTAATGTTTGAATCTTTTGAGAGAGAAATTGGGACTTTGGTCAAAGGTCGGTTATATCGAAATCATTTGTTCGACTTTAGTTCTAGTTGCATGAGATATGACTTGTTTCTCTTTATTTGTGTCTTTTCTCGGGTAGTCGGGTTTGAGCACTCCCTTACAAGTGAAGTCTAGAAATTTCTCCAAGCTCTCATCTTTCATTAATTGCTTTCATTGTTTAGCTTAATTCAGTGCAAAAATCAATCCCTCAATTATGCTTAGTATGTCTAGGATTTTATTTTTCCTTTTTGTGCTCTCGACAACTAATTTGTGAACGAAAGCTCCGAATAGTCTTCATTTGAGAGGCGACCCGAGGTTCGTATAACTCGATTATCACTCTATTCTCGCTAAAAGCAACTAAACAACATAGCAGACAAATCTGATGCTTGTGTTTTTTTTTTTTTTTTTCCAACGGCAGATTATAATAATAAAACACAAAAACAACAATCGGTCAACAAGCAGAAAGGAACAACTAACGGTTGTAAAGGGACACTTACGAGGTGACGACTGTAGCGTAGAAGCCTACACAATACTAAACAACTAGCAACACTAAAACTACCGCAAGTGGATAAAGCAACCTCCCACATGGGAGAACAAAAACACATACACGCAAACCTAAACATACACTACAATATAGAAACTAGGCTAAAATATAGTCCTCCCCTCTAGCCAAGAGCACCGAGCACCTCCACAAAACCGACCAAACCTAACGAGATCCACCGAGGAGAAGTCGCACAGCCCACGGCACAACATAACCTCCCACAACACAACCAGGCCAGACCGCAGCACAACACCCCCCCACCCCACACACACACACATGTACACCTGAGCCACGGCACTACCAGCGTCGCCTCTGGATGAAACGATCGCTCCATCATCAGAGAAGGCCGAATAAAGAGAATCCAAAGATCAATCCGTCGCCCCGACCCCCGCAAGGCCCCCAGCGACGACCGTCAACCCAACTTTTAGCCCTCATGATAAACCGGAGAGGGTCGAAATCCACGCCGCAAAGAGAGAGAGGCCGAAAAGCCGTCGAATCTACGTCGACAAACCTCGACAAATTAGATGCTTGTCGACATCGAAGAGAGCGTGGGGCGCCGGAGAGGATGATCTCGCAGAGAAATTGGAAGAAAAAGGAAGGGTCTACTGTTTCGTAGAAAAGAGATAGTTGAGAAAAAAGAAAGTTGGGACGATTCCCGTGAAATTTGGAGTTGTGTTAGTTTTTTTTAATGTGATGCTTGTTGGAAAGGCAGATAATCCAATCCGAGAGATTAGAGAAAATTGTTGAAGTTTGTATAGATTTCGGATCATTTTTCAAGAATTTTGACTATGGATTAACATTTTTATAAATATATGACTTGTATTCCTTACAACAACTCATTGCCAATCTTGATATAATTCTAGAGTGAGTTCAAGAACTACAAATAAATTTGTTTCTGATAATTCAAGCTATAGAATAAACAAAATTGTGCCTTTTATTCTTAATCACCTTGGATAAGTTAAAATCAAATGAGATCCGTAGAGCTCAAAAAGACGCTATCTTTGTTTTTCAAAAAAATCTTTATGCAAATATCTCAAATTCCAGACAAATTCTGGATGCATGTAATGCTTCTTCTTAAGCAAACCAGGACAAAAAATCCCACAAAAATGAATAAAAAGAATGAAAAATTTACATCTGTGGCCCAAGCGGTAGCCGACTCATGAGCTGCTGATAGACCAAGGAGCCGTCCGGACCAGCATCCGTCACGGGCTCCACCTTAGGTTCGGTTTTCGGCACAGCAAAACCCATATGGGCCATATCACTCAAAGGTCGAGCCCTATACCCGTAATACGGATGAACTTGCATTACAGGCAGCTTCC